TCCTCTTGCATGTTACGCTCTCCATAGCGTTCCTTGACAGTGTCGTTTCTAAGTCACCAATTTAGTGCTACTTGGTCTCAATGGAATTTCCCATTGGGAACCTGCTAGCACTAAGTTGCTAACTGGTTAGCGAGATGCTTCCGACAAACCGGCCACAGCCAAACATGCTTGCGAACCTTCCGCCACAACAAACGACCAATCACATTTACTTTATTCTCTTGTGTAAAGGCATGCACCACTCGGGAGAATTCGGAAATTAAACGGTTGGAACAGCCGCTTCCCTCCGACTTTAAGTAGTTATTCAGACTAGTTATTTATGAATAATAATTAATATTTATAAATGTCTGAAAACTATTGGAAGAAATGTAAATCTTTGTATGTCCTTAGATAACAAAAAGGTCTAGAACGGAGCCCTGGGGAACTCCATCGAAAACTTGTTTAGCCTTTCATCTTTTAGAGTGTAGGAAGGCTCCATTGAAAGATTTTTCTTTGCAAACTCAATGAATAGAAAGTCATTTGGTTCCAAAAGGCTCCAAAAACACCAGAAAAAGAAACAACTTGTCTTTTTTATTCCCATCCTGATTTCTCATCCAATCAAATTAAACGGTTGGAACGGCCGTTTCCCTACGACTTTAAATAGCGCACTTAGCAGTAATATTTCTTCTACTGAATTAACAATGGGAGAAGGAGGGGGTCACACCAGTGCCTGGAAGTTGGAGGGGATTTGCTGCCATTCTGCTAGCATTTGACTGGGAAAGGCCATTTTGAATGGCTGCTACTGTAAATATTTATGAAAGTGGAGACAAAGATTGGTGCCCCTTATTTGGAATAATCAGGTTTAATTAATTTTGTTAATTTTTCTTCTCTTTTAATGCTTCTAATCCAAAAGCAATTTCTAGATGCTATTTTCACTCCATTTTCTTTATCTGGTAAATTCATATCAAATCCTTTATTATTAGTCTCCAGACCAACGAACTAACCTTTTATGTTGATTCTGGTGTTATTTATTCGACCCTTCAGTCGAAGTTGATTATGGGGCCTAATTGAAGCTAAGCCCATCCTCCACTCCACTTTAGCTTCACTAATATCCAATTTATATTGTTTTTTTGCATCATTATTTGTGCAGTGTCGATGTATAAATAACCATTAGCATGCCTTGCTAATGGAAACTAATGAAATAAAGCAGCAGGCAGAGCTTTATATAGAGCAACTATAAGACAGATTGAGCATCACATCAATCACTTTGTATGATCTAATATATTAATGGCTGTTAGACTAAAGTGGCCATGTCCTAAAGAGTTCAAACACAATTATGGTTTCCAGAGAAAGTCTGCTGTGCTTTTCAGAGCTCAGAAGTTCAAAGTAACTCAAGAGATGATGGAAATTATCTTACATAACTTACAATGACGAACAATGCAAACCATTATGCTCCTATCAGATGAATGGAGCTTTGATTTTAACTACTAATGTACAATATAATGCATGTTCAAAAATGGTTTAAACTAACAGCTGAACTTTCCTAGAATTGGTGTTTTTGATTCCTTTCATGCTCTTTGCACAATACAGTTTATATTTTCTATATATTTTGTTGATTTATTCAGTAACAATAGTAAGCTAATCACCTGCTCTCTATGTTTATAAATGCTGCATAAGTCCTGCTGCTTTCTGCATTTTTTTTTTATAAAACTCAAGCAGCTTATGATATATTGCAAATAACTATTAGAAGGAATAAAAACATCAAAAGATGATGCTATTTGAAAAAGAAAAGATGGCAGACCAAAAACCAGCACTAGTTTTATTAATGCCTCAGACAGGTTCTATAAATGTACATATTTACTAGTGTATTAAGAGAAAGTTTGCTCAGACAGACCAAACATGCCAAAAATGCCTAAAACTGATTAGCTGTTTTATCCTGAATTAAATAAAATAAAGACTTAATTTTTCTGATGTTGCTTTTAATGGCACAGCTTAGACTTGTATACAGTTATCTTTTCTAAACTTTTTATTTAAATAAAACTCTTGTTGTGAAAAGCTTAATTTTGGACATCCGTCTATTTGCACATTTTGTCTCCCAGCAAAACCGTTGTCCTTAGAAATGAAGCAGGGCTCCCTTTTATCTCATCTTTCTTTCGTCTTTTCTCCTTTGTATTCAGTTTCTTCTTTCCTGATCTACTTACATTGCAGTGTCCATATAAATCTGTAAAACTCCCTGCATAATTATAATAAATTTATATGCATAAAACGAGCGGAACACTATGACGACAGCCCTACTACTCCACTTGTGAAAGTAAAATCTGTTGGACTCTTTCTGGCATCAACACAATTATTCTTATTGACACATTGCCAGACAGGACACTGTTAAAAAAAAAAAAACGAAAGAAAGAAATTATGTGGGACTACAGAAAATAATCACACTGATCAACCTTTCAGTTTAAGGTTAATCTTCACACATTTAGTTTGAGCCGAGCTTTGCAAGATTTTGGTTTCATTAGTTCAAAATGCTGGTAAAGATTCTCAGTCATCCAGGTTGTAGTCATTCCAAAAAAAGTGAAAAATAATCCACAGACTTTGTTTCCAAGTTTGAAGACGTTTCGGTTGCCATCCAGGAAGCTTTGTCAATTCAAAATGTCAGAAATAGCTTTGAGTCTGAGGCTTTATATAGTGGACCAAATACAAAAACATTCTTTGCATGTTTTCTAAGCCAAAAAAAGGCTTTGTTTTTTGTCCACTCTGTAAAGCCTCAAACTCAACGCTATGTCTGACATTTTGAATTTAAAAAGCTCTCTGGATGGGAAGCTAAACGTCTTCAAACTTAAAAACTAAGTCCAGTGGATTGTTTTTTACCTTTTTTGGAATCATTAACTCTAAAGACTGTTGAAATATGCAAAAACATTTTTGCAACTTTTCATCACCTTTATTACAGAAACTGTATCCAGTTCCTCATGTAGTTCTGCTTCTTGGAAAACACCAATAAATGGCCAACCTGTCTTTAAAATGAAGTTCTGATGGTTCATAATATTCTCTCTATGTCATCTTGCTGGTAAAGACCAGAGAGCTAAACTCATGAACAGAGCAAAGGTAAGACAAAGCAAGGCCAAACCAATGAGAGACCATTTTCAGCCCATCTAATAATGTATTTGGTTATTATTAATGTGCAAAAAATCTGCTTTTTTGCACATTAATAATAAGCCTAACATTAATAATAAGCCACATTAAGCCTAGCAACAGATTAACTGATATTACTTTTTTCCATTAGCTGCTCCTGCACAACAAACTTGTATTTAAGCAAATCATGAAATGTTCTACTTCATAAACCAATCAGACCAGCTGGTTACAACTCTAAAGAGTGCAAATATGCAGCTAAACTTTAACTTATATAGCATCGACTGACACAGTGAGTGGAGAACCTACCCTGATTAGCATATTTATGTTTTTGAAAGAATTTATGGTCAGGAGAAAAACATTTCTATATTTGTACTTGAAAATGTATTTTCCTCCTGTTTCTTCGTTCTGCCTGTTCCACATTGCTATAGGATGGAGTTCAAAATGTCAAGGTAAAAAAACGGGACTGCTTGCATTAAAATGCAGCAAGGAGCTTCAAACTAAGTGGATGTGTCTGTGTTGACTGAACTTTTTTTTTTTGTTTTGTTTTGTTTTTTTTAAGCCTACTAATACACCATGTTTTTCTTTAGATTGTAGCTCCTAATAAAGCCTCTGATGTAAAATATAGGACAGGTGTAAGCAAATTAACAACTGCTCATGGCCCCAGGTCAGATAGGGGCCCCAATGGCCTCCAGGAACATTTGCTGGTTTGTGTGTTTGTTTGTTTTTGTGTGGAGAATTAGTTATTTTTCACTATAGCAACCAAATCAGAATTTAAAGATAAAATGTTGCATTTTTTACATCAGTAGATTTTTAATTGTGCAGAAATAATTACATTTTTGTTTGACAGGGAAAATGCAAACAATCATGGTGACAAAACAAAGCAAGTCACTTCAGTGTTGCACATAAAGTTTAGAGTGAAGCTAATTTTCAACTTCTGTCTTTGAAGGTAAAAAATGTATGCTGATGAAGATTCTCATTCATCCAGGTCATAGTCATTCTGTAAAAGTTTAAAAAAACAATCCATTGGACTTGGTTTCCAAGGTTTGAAGACGCCTTGGATTGAGAAAGCTTCCTGGAGGGGAAGCAAAACGTCTTCAAACCTTGGAAACCAATTCCAGTGGATTGTTTTTTAAACTTTTACGGAAAAAGTAAAAAATGTACTGTATACATGAAAGCTGTTTTATTTGTTTGTTATTGTTCTGCAGGATATTTGAAAGCTTTAGCTTTGAAATAAAAATAGGAGACAGTAACCAGCGCTTGTAGCGTTGCATTGAGTTTATAGTTGGTGTGTGCATGATCTCATCATTGCACTGTTGATTGCATAGAGGGAACCAAAAATCTATTTTGCTCAGAGACCCATGGCGGCTTGGGCCGTCCCTGCTCTAACACTTCAGATAATGTTCAACTTCTCGGCTCTATTTTCTCCTTTACCTGATGAAAGAACTCACAGTAAAATACATCAGAACATAGACCTGAAGCCTAACCTGAAAAGTTAGTTTTAGTTTAAGAATTTTGAAACCATCCAAACTTTGTCAGCAAAGGAAGCAAAAGAAGTTTTCTACAATCCAAGCAGTTTCTTCCACCCAATGAAAGATTTCTCTATATATGTTTGAATTGATTGAGTCGTCCAATAAAGGAAGAAAAAAAAAACTTTCAAACCCACTAAAATATGTTCCTTTCTCCGACTGATTGTCAAATTTTCTACAAATACAACTTTGATTGAATTACGACACAAAGGGACATCTTTAGCGTTCGATATTTCATTTCTGTCCTTCGGTCTCTCAGCGGGCCAAAGTCAGCCCGGTTTTAAAACACAAAGAAAATCTGATGTCTTAACGAAGCCAGGATCGATAACCACATTGCTTTTCACCTTTTGTCCAATCAGGGGCCCTCCGAAGCACAAGCCTCCTCCTCCTGTGAAGGCAGGCAGCTCAACGGAGATGGTGAGTGATCGACGTGGCTTCAAATCAATCCCTTATTGTCACTACAATTATATTATAGTCCCGCACACACATGCACAGAAACACAAAGTCCATTTGGGCAGTCATAATAGGCCTAATGGCTATTGATTGGAGATCTCAGTTGGCTTCTGTGTCCCCAAATAATTATCTTGGTTTGTAAAGAGCCCCCATTAGAGCAGTTCATTATTTTTTCTCTCATCATTCCATCGCATTCTGGTCAGCTTATGCAATGTGACTAAAAACTCAGTAATTTTATGTTGATTCAATATGAAAAAAAAGGTGTCTAATGGCTTTTAATGCCTTGGTAAAAGGACGGTTCATGGGGTCGAGCTGTGAAATGGTCTTTTTTACGCATGTAATGTTTTTTTTTAACTGTAGAGCAGCACCTGTGGCATCATCAAAGAGGCAACATTATCTCTGTAACTTTAATGCTAGATTACAGGTCTTCTGGCCAATTTCTAAAACTTTTTAAGTACTTCTCAGCTTTTGTTTCTCTCCAGTGAGAGACTCTGCTAATTAGAGATTCTGCTGCAAGATGAAGTCTGAAGCTTACATCTGTTATGTTGTTAGAGGGTGAATTATGGTTTAGTGCTGTGTTTTTCAGATGTTTAAAGCAGGGAGAGCAGCTTTTCTGTCAGTTAAACTAACAGTTTCTTCCTCTAAATGAAAATATTGCAATATCTAAATCTGCTTCCTTTAGGTTGGGGCGGGAGATTATTGCTGAAAGAGAAGCACAATGTTCCTCTAAATGAGTCAACGTCTGAGTTTTTCTCACTGTAGTAGGATAGGTTCCAGATTTGAATGGAAGATTCACCTTTCAACCGATCAGTGGCCTAGAAAAATTTAAAAGTTTGAAAGGAAGTGGAGCATAAAGAGCGTTCATAGTCCCCCAAAACACCTAGATATCAGCTGAAAATATTTGTGGTAAAAAACAAATAGAACCAACTCTTTGTATTTTGACATAAACCTCCAATAATTGAAGTCTGATGGCTTAAAATATAGTTTAATTTATAAAAATGTTTAATCAGATGCCATCAGTCTGTCCAAGCTGCTACCTGAAGGCTCTACATGTATGTTCAAACTGACATCTTCATTCAGTTGCAGCAGAATAAATCAGAATTAACTGCAAAATAAAATAGTTTTATTCATTCAATTAATTCAAAAGCTGTATAGATTAATTAGATTAATTAGTGTTCTAGTGTGTGCAAGCATCAGGAAAAAGTCGAGTGAAAGGAAAACGTTGGGCAGCAAAGGTGTATCACAAAAAACAGTAAGCTAATCTAAATTTTACGG